TTAAGAACTGCTCGTTGGGCTCGCTCAAGTTTCAGGAGTAAGGTTTTATAGGTGCCTCCCCATACCACTACACAGTAAATTAGCAGTGATTGGCAAAGCGACTCGTACACCATTCTAATTGTAGTGGAGTCAGCAACCCCACGCAGGCTCCTGAATACATACATTAGCTTGCGCAAACGTCCCGAAAGCAATTCAATGTGACCATTAAAGCTAAGATTGCTGTCTATAAGTACGCCAAGGTACATTATTGTGCTAACATTTTGCAGCCGAGGGCAGTCGCACGAACCATCCAATCGTCGCGGACGGGGGCAGCAATGAATCACCATTGTCCACTGATGTTGTGGGTGGCACCCTCGTTTTGTGAATGCCATGTTTTTAGTTTGGTCTGCATTGAGCGTTAATACGTTGTCGCCAAGCCAATCAGTCACACTATCCAAGCCAGATTGAGCGTGAGCGAAAACCTCCCCCCAAGTCGGTGCATTAAATAATAAAGCCGTGTCATCCGCAAAGGTAACGATGGATCCATTGGTTAACTGTAGGTTGCATAGCTGATTAATATACACTAAAAACAGGGTAGGACCCAATACGCTACACTGCGGAACACCGTATCGAACAGGAAGGTCCTCGCTCACACTATCCCCAATCTTTGTGGCCTGGGTTCTGTTGCTCAAATAGTCACCGAATAGTCTCAATTGGGCCCCTCTCATACCAATGTGCTCAAGTTATTTTATCAGAATTTCGATAGAGACCGTGTCAAAAGCCAGGTCCAGGAATATAGCTATGCACTTCATGCCCCCTTCTAGGTTCCTAATAACGTAGTCGGTGAGGGCATGAACCGCATCCCCGGTGGATCTCCCAGAGCGAAAACCGTACTGGGAAGTAGATAGAAGGTTATTCACCTCTAGGAATTTTATAAGCCTGCTATTCATTAATTTTTCCAAAACCTTAGACATAGCAGGTAGGATGGATATCGGTCTATAACTGTTGACACGGTCTCTAGCCAGACCTCCTTTATGAACTGGTATTATTAAGGCTTGTTTAAAAGCAGATGGAATAGTACCATTGCTGAGAGCCAAATTACATATATGTGTGAGAGGGGGCACAATAATTGATTTATACGACCTTAGGATCTTAGCGCCAATACCGTCACGTCCTGTAGCATCGCTCTTGAAGGCTATAACGTGTTTTTCCACCTCACACTCATCAGTGGCTAACAATACTAGAGAATTATGACTAGTATTACCTCCAAAACTGCATTCAACAACAGTAGAACAGTTCTTTTGTATTATATTTTCCGCCAGATTCTTGCCAACTCCCACGAAAAATTTATTGATACCATTGACCGCTGCCAAATTATTGGAGTAATTTTTTAGCAACTCATTTGGAGTTGCTTGCGATTTTTGTCTATTTGTTATGGTGTCAATTGTTTTCCAAAGTAATTTTGGATGGTGTTTAGCTGCATTAAGTTGATTACTTTCATAGTTCCGTTTTAGTTTTTTTAACAAATTGTTGCAGAAATTACGGTAACGTTTATATGTGGTAATTATAATCTCATTATCGGGATGTTTTTTGCCTTTTTGTGCAAGTTATCCCTGTTGCGCATGCACTTCAAAAGACCGGGGTAATCCAGGGCTTAATAATCATTCTTCTTTTCGAGGGACTAATCTGCCTCGAGTTCGACTTGATGGCTTCAGTAATAGATGCCATCAAAAAGCTCGCAGCAAAATTGACATCACACGAATTGAAGAGAGGACTTAGATCCATATTATAAAGGCTAAATGCTAGGCCCTCGTGGTCTATTTTAGTTAACGGCCTATTCACAATACAATCATGGTTAAATTTAGACTTAAGAAATAGTAAAACGGTTTTATGATCAGTCAGTGATGTTTGGGCAACAAATGTGTGCGTTTGGACCTTAGTTTTCAAAAGGACATGATCGAGGCAGTTATCTACTCGTGTTGCAAATGTGTGGGTGGGGAGCAGCCATGTATTTGCGCTTTCTGCGATTCTTCATTATCTGCCGATATAGGTGCTATTAAAAGACACGGAGAAGGTGCTTAACATAAACTTCCTGGCCAACCGTATGTGCGTACCATTGATAATATTTTAAGAGTCAGCAACGTGTACACTGTTAACGTGTAAGTGTTGATGAGCGACGGAAAATTGCGGAAATAAAATTATCGGCATATATGGCAGAATATAAAATATCGCACATAGTGATGGATCATCTTGTTTATTTACTTCCAAAAAAAAATCCAGATTTAAAATTGCAAGTAACATTAATCTTAAGCATACTAAATTACAACAAGTAGTAAACAACGTCATCGGAGCTTCTGAAAGAGAATGTTTAGTAGCAGATTTGAAACGCGAAATGTTTTCTATAATGGTAGATGAAAGTACCGATGTTGCCAGAGTGAAAACAATGTGTATTGTATTGTAGTCAAATATTATGATCTTAGTTCAGGGTGTATAGTAAGTCATTCTGGCATCTTATTCAAATTTTTTATCATACAAATGCTGGACTGATTGCTGATTACTCTGCTACGACTGAAAAATCTTTAATTCAATAATTAAATCATTTCAAGACATGTACATTTAGAAAATATAATTCGATTTGGATCAGATGGCTGTAATACTATGATGGGCTGTCGTAATTCAGTGTCCTCACGGTTTAGACAACTGTGCCCAGGTATTATCGTGCTAAAATGCGCTGTAATGTGCCTCAGACGCTTGTCAAGAATTGCCTCATTATGCAGAAAAACTGACTCGATTGATATACAATTATTTCAATAATAGTAGCAAACGTCAAGCAGAGCTTAAAGAATTTCAAGCATTTACGGACACTAACATACACATAATCCCATGTCCAGCCCAAACGCGTTGGTGGTCGCTGTCCAGTGTTGTGAACAGAATTATGGAGCAATGGGCAACAGGATTGCCAAGACATTCACAATCTTTTGAATGATCATGTTGCATGTTGGATGCTGCCAAAATTTACCCGCGTCAATGTATACTTTCAAAGTGAAGATCCCGTTATTATCGAAGCCCACAACAAAATGACTGAGCTATACAGAGAACTGATATCGTTATTCATAACTCCAAATTATCTTTAAAACACCCCACTCGACGCAATTGACCCTACTAATAGTCAACATTACATCAATCTGAAAGATATATATACCTGGGATTGGTTGTTGCTAATCATATTGCTGTCCCAGAGCTACATGCGCATACCGAAGAAGTTGCAGTGATAAATCAGAAATGCCTCAACTTTATCGTAAATACATGCGTGGGTATTGTCGTGGAAAAGATACAGTTTAAATGACCCAGTTTTGAGCTCAATCGCACAGTTGAATCCTGATTCTTGCTTATCAGACAATAGAGAACAGTCTTTGTCTTCACTGTACCCAGTGTTACCAAGGCTGAAAGCCCCCCAACTTTAAATGATCAACAGACGTTAGATGACGAATGGAGAAACTTGATTTTTATTGCGAATGATATACATTGGAATACAAGTCAACCAGCAGACTTATTTTGGCACTAGGTAAAATTTAATCATATAAGAACTCTATTTACATAATTTTTTTATTTCAGTTGTCTCAAATGAAAGATAGCAATGGAGACATTAAATTCCATTTGCTGCCTCGTTTTATGCTGGAATCTTTGCCTCACTCGAACGCTGAGTGCGAACGGAAGTTCAGTGAAATTAATAATATAAAAACCAAGCAGAGGAACTCTCTGATCACAAATACTATTGAAGGAAATTTGTTAGCTCAGCAAGCCATTCGTCGAAATTCTGAAAACTGCGTCAAATTTATTAATCCCACTAATGAAATGATTTTGAGGTTGACAGCAAAAATGTATCAAAATCATGAGAAAAATATTTTAGAATAACTTACAGTAATAAGTATTTACAAATAAATTAATACAGTAGCTTATTTTTCATTTAATATTTAAACAAACTTTTACTGTGATCGATTTTGAAATCTGCTGTAATGTTTTAAGAAACTACTATATTTTTTAGCTGACAACACTGTAATTTTACTTTTGGTATCTGGAAGCACTGTATTGAGTATTCTCACTATTGTGCCAATGGACTTTGTATCCGGCTAATAAATAAATTAAAAAAAATATTATTCTCACTATTCACTATAGGGATGGCGATTCTTTACGAAAAAGATCGATTTTTAAATCGATTCGAATCGTAGTCTAATGAATCGATTCACGAAAAAATCGAGGCCTACAAAATCGATTCTTAAAAAATCGATCTTTTTTCAAGTTTGCGTTTACAATGTAAATTTGTATCAATTTTACTAAAAACAAGATTAATATTGCAATTAACGATATCTTATCAATAAAATCAGGGAATTCAAAAATAACAATTATTTTTATTACCGTATCAAACTATAAGATCAACTATAAAAAAAATAAGTATTTATATACTGAATGTTTTCAATTCATTAAACGACAACAACAAATGAATAATGCATTATGCAATATCAATCGTCACAGATTATAAATACATAAAGTCAAAGACTACAAACGTAACTTTTTTATTAAAGAGAGGCGAGTAAAGGATACTAAACATACAGCCATCTCGCGAGTTTATGAGTAGTTAACTCTTTAACCGGCAGCACTCTTATAATTCAGGCACATTCAACTAAATGCAAATAATTGTATGGTTTATACCAAAACAGAAAAAATCGAATGTCGATTTTCAAGGGTGATATATCGATTCAGTGAATCGACACAGTACTTCATATCGATTTAAAAAATCGATATTTTCTGCTCGAAAAATCGATTCTTCGATTAATCGATCTCAGATCGCCATCCCTAATTCACTATTCAGTATTCAGTGCTTGTTACAGACATCAAAGATTGTGCATGTCAATTTATAGTAATAGTGGCACTGGTGCGTTTGTTACTTTTAATACGGTGCATTATCAATAACAATGTTTATAATATGTATCACAAAAAAAAGGTTTATTTTATTTCAGAAAATGGAGAGGAACCGACAGCTTCAGTATTTGGTGGCCAGTGCGGGTTTGTTGAACTTTTTAATTATAATGCAATATATGAGCGCGAAATTTAAAAATAGGGTTAGGTTTGTAGTAAATTTTAAAAATAAAATGCCTCTTATTGAAATAAATTTTTCTTTTTATACAAATATTTACTAGCCACTGACTGATTAAGTTGACTAAAACTAATGTTTTTCTGAATTGTCTGTTAAGATATAAATGGTTAGTATTTGGAAAACAATCTCCTAGTCTAAATCGATTAGGTATTAAGAAAACAAACAAAATTGTATTCTTCCGACAATACTTTAGATAAAAAAAATTATTGTTAAAAATAATCTTGCGAAATTACAAATAAATTTGGTGACAGATACGATGTTGGTTTAAAAAAATCAGTAAAATTTAATTATATATTAAGTTAATATAATTTATATGGTAAAGTTTCGTATAAGGGATTAGGAGGAAGTAAGGTATTCCTTACATATTTGTTTAAATATCATTTGTTTTTGATTTCAGAACTAGATTGCCGCCCTAAATGATGGATGATTAAAAATTATGAATATATTAATTTTTTTGCAGTGTCCTTGGCCACAGCTACGCTAGGTATGTGCTCCTTATGGACAACACCAGCGATGCCTAAACTGACAAACAATGAAACCAGTATTGTCATAACTAATGTAAGTATATTTATTATTCATGGCATACAGTATTAATACCGAGTAAAATATGACAAGGATTCATCAAAAATATATATTGTCTATTATGGCAATGTGACGAAGTTGTTTACGTTGAATAAGCTCACCGATTATGCGTTTTTATAAATAACTAGCTGACCCGGCAAACTATATTATTTCTAAGAAACATTTTTAGTTCAATAAAAATAAATATCTACTATAATAAAAAATAAGAGTTAATCGTAGACAGGTGACAATTAAGGGTTATATGTATTTTTTTTATGTCACATAATAAAATAAAAATTATCTCTAGTGTAAACACAAATAAAGCGTTGTAATATGAAGTATTATTTTACATCTATCAGCACTATTGGAAATAAAATGTATTCTATTTTTAATAGTCTATTGTACTCTTTAATACCGAGTATTAATTATAAAGTAACAGTCTGGTTTATACATGGCCCACGCAATAACTAAAATAAATGTAAAAGTGAAACAATTAGTTCACTGTGCTAGTTTTGTTTACAAGTTCAACCAATGTTTTGTTTTATTTTTAACGGTAATAACAAGCGGCATGATTCACACTGGCCATTTATTTTGGAAATATTTTCAATATATCTGTAGTCAAGTAATATTGGAATTAAATATAGTCTGTTACTAGTTAGTATATATATATATATGTATTTATCATTAATTACCTTAACATAACAATCAACTGTACGGTATTTACAATTTTATTAACCTAAAATAATTTAAAAAAAACACACAAAAAAATAAAACAAATTTAAAAAGTTTAGCAGTTTAATGGATTTCCTCGCTGTATTGCGATACTTATTTGTTGAGCGAGGAAAGCACTAGGGTCACCTGTACTATCTACCAGGCGCCAAATTAAATCTTTAATTAGCGCCTGTGCTCACCCCACGGCCCAAGAGTCTACTCCATAGGGAACAAAATCGATGTTGGAGGAAATACTCTTATATTTGAGCCGTTTATTATTATCACTAATTAGTGAGTTCAAAATACAAGAAAATATGACATTACAAATACACACATCAATTATATCGGAAGATAGATAATAATAAAAAAAAGAGAATTAATGTAGTACTCGAAAACACATAGATAGATATAAAAGCAGCAAAAATAAAATGCAATGTTAAAACTAAAGCTAAATAAAAACTGGCAACTCTTTAAAATCTTAATAAACAAGATTACGGTACGAAGAAATATTTTCAAAATTAAAATCGGTCCAATTTGGTGTATTCGTTAAAAACATACGAAAATATAAATCTGTCCTTTAATGTAAATATTTAAGCGTATAGTAAATTAATCTTTAAACACGATAAAAATAAATATTTTTAGTTATTCCCCTGCATGAATTGTTATCAGTCAACTGATACTATTTTATCTAAAATTATCGAAAAATCAAAATACTTCTGTATAAAATATTTAAAATTTGGGTATCATTATACTTTTCTTTCGTTACGTATCGTTAAGTATGTATTAGATTTATTTATTTTTAATTTAAAATTAACTAAGAGTAGTTAAGTCGTTTCGCGATTTAATCTCTATAACTTAATTACTCGGCAATAGAGGTTTATAAATAAGCGAATTAAGTTTGGTGGCGGTTTTTGTATGGATAAGTTCACACAAAACACTTTGTTTGAAGTTGAGTAACAACTGAGTTTAATGGTTTGAAATATGAGTTAATAACTAACATAGAATTACGGGTTGCGAGGCTAACAAAAACTAATTTGGCTTTTCTAACAGTTCACATATCTAAGTGACACTTATGTTATTGGACATTATCGGAAACGAGAATGTTAAAATACAATTTATGAGTGTGGGAAAAAGTAAAGGGCTTGTTTTGGCTTCAAGTGTGCGATGATTGTTTACAATATGTTTACGCTTCTAATTATTAACTAAAATATTTATATGTAACCTAACTTTAGTTAACTAGCGATATAACTTCTTCGTGTTACCTTTGAATGATGTAAAATTAAAAAAAAGGGCGACAGCGGTGATTAATCTTCGTTGATATATAATTTAATTCAGCTACATATTGTACCCATTTTCATAACACATATATATATATACATGGCCTCACTAAAAATCAGTGGTGTGGTCAAGACTGGCCCGAGTGTCCACAGTGTCTTTTTTTTTAATATTCTAAAGCTAATGTTCACCAGGTATAACGTAAGGTTTTAATGGTACCTTAAATATAATGCCTTGCTGAAGCCCGAGGGCCATCTTAAGGGCTTGTGGAGGGCTTCGAATGTAGACCCAGCCCCAGAACCCGCGTCAAGATCGACAATCAGCTTGCGTAAGCGCATTTTCACCTCACTAAATAAAAAAGGGTGCGTGTACTTATGTAAGCGCGTAAGAAGTTATACTTCTTTAGCATTATTAAAAATAGTTTTTGATTGCATGCAAATAATTAATTACAATTAAATAATCAAAGACTGGAATTCATTATAGTCAATAAAGTTCAGTTTACCTTTGAAAAATTAAATAAATAAATATTCTCTTACATTAAGTGTAACATAAATTCTATTATTATTCGAATGTTGTTTTTAAATTATGTCCAATGCCGTAGCATCTTCCGTGGGCAACTTCATTCTGTTAATTTTGTGTCACGGTCCGCGCGCATCGTGAAATTTTCACTCATCAATTTTTCATAACGCGCCTAAAGAAGTATAACTTCAAAAAGTATTCTAATGGACTTTTACAAATTATTCCTGTAGTTTTGGAGCCAGTTATGCATGCAATGAAATCTTTCCTCTTTATATAGTCCGGTCAATTTAGACCAAAAAATGAGAGTGAAGTTACATAAAGTCCCAACAAGCTGAATTTCAGTGAAATTGTTCAAAACATGATTATAAACAATGTCTAGAAGTTCCCCATCATTCCCGTGTAAGGAAAAATTTTTATTCAAGGGCAAAGGTAAAAAAAAAGAGTTCTTCGCGATTTTCAGCAAAACGGTAAGTTTTATCATAAAAGTACCACAGACAAAAATTGTAGATCATACAATTATCTATAAAAAATGTATCAATACTTTTTTTCTTACGAGCCACCGTTTCTGAGATATAACGATTCAAAAAGTTATAAAAGTTGTTATCGGCCTTGACAATTTGTGCATGCCAAAGAACAAGACAGTCCGACTTTTTTGCAATCACATTTAGCACTGCATGATGCATCCCTTTTTGCAGTTGCAAAAAATAGTGTTCAGCAGTTTTTCCGGCGCAGGAAGTAAAGTTTGAACTGGCTCTAATATATTTTTCAATTGACTATATTTTGTCTGAGGTACTTTTATGATAAAACTTACCGTTTTGCTGAAAATCTCGAAAAACTCATTTTTTTGACCTTTGCCCTTGAATAAAATTTTTTCCTTACACGGGAATGATGGGGAACTTCTAGACATTGTTTATAATTATGTTTTGAACAATTTCACAGAAATTCAGCTTGTTGGGACTTTATGTAACTTTGAATGTCTAAATTAACCGGGCTAATATTATTAGTGTAGATATAAAAATCATGCTCTCAATTAACTTCAATTTCTGCTTACAATTAACTTGAACATCATGCGTCATTAGTTCGATCTTAGCTTGTTATTCTCAACCCTAAGGTCTATATTTCGCGAATAACTGGCACGTACCGTGAAGGCAGACAATGTAAGGATACCGGCGAATTTTTTAGATAACAATTGAGGCCGCGTATTAGGCACGGGGAATGAAACATATACAGATATGACTGTCCCTTTGTGTTACGGGACTTAGAATGTACGGCCCGAGCGCAGATCCAGCGTTCGCGTCATCAGTTTTTATATTTAAGTAAACATACAAGGCAAAGTAGCAGGTAGAAGGTCATTTAGCACCAAGTCATTGTTTAGAAGCGCGGCATCCAAAATTAAAATAGCTATGATAATCGCCAATCTTCGCAAGGAGATGACACTATAAAAAGAAGAGATATCCACTGACTACAGAAAAATAAACAATCAATTTTATATCATGACAATGACCCCCTGGATTTGCCTTTGCCACGGCCCGTGTATTTATTTTAACTATAATCTTCTCATAAAACCAGATTAAAAATCGTCTATACTCTATGCTATTTATGGAACAATGAGTTTACAACTTTCGTTTATGTAACATTGTTAGTATCTACGCTATGATTGCTTCCCAGAATATGATAAACACTTATGATTGGTTTATTTGTTATGTAATGTGTATGATTACAACATAATATATAAAGAATTATAAACCTTATTGACCGGTGTTAGCTTCACATTTCCTGTGACAATAGTGTGAATACTGAAAGGTTCAAATTCAAGACCATTAACATTTGCGGCGAAAAGCAATCAATATTTTTTTTGAGAAGGAAATAGGCTACTTGGGAGTTAGTGGGGTATGTGGGTAAAACCAAGCAATCTCTCTGCTATTGAGAGAGCTATTTGAAGCCCTATAAAACCTCGGGAGGACCCATGGAGTCCGTCAGTTCATTATTATTTATCTTCATCATAAGCAATGTCGGACTAGTGGCTTTAGCGTACTCTCAACCCTGAGGTCGTAGGTTCAAACCCCGGATGTGCACGAATGGACTTATTTACGCAATAAACACTCGCTCGTTCGGTAATGGAAAACATCGTGAGGAAACCTTAGCTTAGATCAAAAGAGAGTCGGCGGCACAGAAGGTTGATCACCTACTTGCCAATTTGAAAAGTTATTACGAAATTGAAATCTGAGGCCCACACCTAAAAACTTCTAGCCCCAATGGCTTCATTATTATTTCTTTTGGCAGGTATTTTTCACACTGTTCCAGTCTACTTCTTACGACTTACATGCTTTATCAGATTTAAAAAAAATCAGTGGCTATACAACCTCTTTAGGTCTGATTTCTGGCCTCAGATTTCTGAATCTGTTTCATAATCATTTTTCAATTTAATAGGCAAGTAGGTGATCAGCCTCTTGTGCTTGACATATTTATCACATTATTTGGAATAATATTTGGTGACGTTAAATCATATACGTTGGTAGCATCCAAGAGATCGTCTTCATCTTCAGACACTTTTGGGTTGTTTGTTAAATAATGGTGAGATAGAGAAACTTTTGACCCAAAATGTATGCCTTCATGTTTCTCTATGATATGTATTACCAAAGATAATGAAGAAGACGATTCTTCATTGTCTTTGGTATAACAGGTTGAATGTATTTACTTTGCTATATCTAATATATAAAATTCTCTTGTCACAATGTTCCTTCCCATACTCCCCCGAAACGGCACGACCGATTCTTATGAAATTTTCAATCGGCTACTATCTATCTTTTAAACCCCTAAATATAAAGGGTGGTACACCCCAAAATTATTACTTTTTTTAGATAATTTTTTTTTGTTTTTATTTTTTTATGATACACCATACAAATATATATACAACCCTTAATTTTCACCCCTCTACGATCAACCTCTAATTTTTTTATAGTAGATTGTTATTTTTATTGAACTAAAAATGTTTGCAGCTATACTAGCTGGAAACATTTTTCTTATATAAAAAGTATATATCTCACATATTGAAAAATATGTTACAGAAACAAATATCGTGGATGCTCAGTCTTTCGCCAGTAGGGTTCATGATAGGCAGCTTGGTCACAAGGTTTATTTGTGATCAATTTGGTAGAAGAACCACTCTACTACTCAGCGCAGTGCCTATCGCTACTGGAACGGTAAGTTTTATTAATTTTTATAGAACAGGGGCAAACGGGCAGGTGGCTCACTTGATCTAAACGCCCGCCGAGAGTCGTTTAGTCGAGATACTAACTTAATAAAAAACTACAAAAAGCAATAAAAAATATATATTCGAGTGAAACTTCTTTAGGCGCATGAGGGTAATTTTTTACGGAAACGTCACGAAAATGTGCAGCGTTTTTTTCGAAGGGAGAGAGCGATTGAGACCGATTGAGAGAGAGAAGATGAGAAAATTTATTAAATATTAGTATTTTAGATTTTATGCAAAATAACTTATAGAAATCTCAAATGACGAATTGTATATTAAAATTTGCCACGTGTTTTTTTTATTATCGAAGAAATTTTTTTATTTTATAATTTCTATTAATTTTCGACGCTTTATATTTTAATGTCAAATAAATTCATTAAATTCCTAACATATGTTCCTTTTTCCCTCCCTCTAAGTCTTGGAAATCTAGTTTTAGATTTGTATAAATATGAACAAGACTTAAAAATAGTTTGCAAAAGAAGTTTCACTTCTGACATGTGTACTTTGTACGCCCGAAAAATATAATAATAAAGAAAAATAAATTGTACTTTACTTCGGTATATTTACTTTTTTCTTGTGTACTTTAATTGCAATCAAATGGTGGCAACCATAGTCTTTACCCTTAACTACAATGGCATGGAGGATATGTTTGTTACATTAGCTTGAATTTGATTCCTACACAAAACCAAGTATAAGTAGCACATTCAAACACCACACACACTGATACATGTACACACGCATACCTATAAAAAATTGTGTTCTCGTATTTTTTGTATGATTTCAGATAATTGCAGCGTCGGCAAATAAAGCATGGTGGTTGTTCATTATGAAGATTCTATGGGGCTTCGGGACCGGTATGATATCAACTGTATGTATAGTCAATTTAATATAATAACTGATAAATGATAATCGCTTTGATAACTAATATAATGACTGTTACATTGCATAGAGGTCAGCCTCTATTCCCCGAAACAATTGTTTTACAGGGAACCGAAACAAGTACCTCCATTGTTACAACAATCATTTCTATGTCGATCAAGTTAGATAAATTAATTAATCAGCAGGTTTACCCTGTATCTTGAATTGCGACCACATAATTCTATTTAACTTTCTCCTTGTAAAAATAAAATAAAATATGTTTATTATGGAACATAACATACAGGTATCACTTATTCCACGTCATTAAATTTGAATCGGTAGACACCCCTACTCATCGGCATAGAAGACAGAAGGAAGAAGAAAAAACTCTCGGTAATCTTTTAAAATAGCAAATCATCAAACAACACATTTTATAACAAATATCGCAAATTAATTAGAAGTAGCCTGTCTAGTACTAGTCCCAGGCCCTATTATCAACTAGAAAATCGTTAACTTTATAGTAAGATTTTTTACACAGCTTTTTTTAAATACATTTCTTATTTTTATTAAAAGGCAGATAAAAGAGCTTGCTACAGCAGTGAGCCTTTTGCCCGCAATAATATTTTAAACCGTCATAAGTCATAACTCATATCTGCACTGTATATCGTACCTACACTTTTGATACCTTTTTCGTGGGTAAATATCTTCCTGAGGCACTAAAGCAAGTGGTTTATAGTCTCGATGGTCCTTCCGTCACAGTGCATGTTACACTCAAATTTCTGCAAAAAGGGGGAGAATACACGATGCCTTGTTAATTTTTGAGTTAGGTTTTCTGTTGATATATAATGATATGTTACACACGAACTTAGCTATAAATAACACTATTGTTTCTAGATAGTAACAATTTATATAGCGGAAATAGCGGATAAGGATATCCGGGGACGGTTATCTGTTGGTACGCGGATCGCGTTCCACTTTGGGGGCTTACTTATGATGTGCATCGGGGCTGTGGCGACGTATGACGTCACAAACTACTTGCTGCTAGCCATGCCGGTGTTGTACTTTAGCGCTTGCTTGTGGATTCCGGAGTCTCCGTACTATTATTTGATGAAGGGAAGACAAGAAGACGCGAAGACAGCGTTCGTGAGATTGCGGGGTACGAGCGAGGTGGGTTTTTAATTTTCACTTTCTTACCTGGTCGAGATCTGCATTTGCGTTCAAATAAAGCTCAGAATTTTATAGACTTTAATAGGGTTACAAATATCACATAATTAGTCATAACGACTTATATTACCACTGATTTGTTCTATTGGGGGAGTATAGAATAACAAAAAAGTGAAACAGGCTTCTTCAAGAAAAGAGCGTACTAATTCTTGAAAAGCGGGCAAACGCACTTGCGAGCGTCCTGCAATGTGAGTGTCCATGTGCGGCTGCATCTCTTAACATCAGGTGAGCCTCCTGCCCGTTTGCCTCCTACTACATAAAAAAAGAGAAAGAAAAAACCTGCCTATATACTACTGAATCGATTTTGATTAAACATGTATTGTTATTTAAGTTGTATAGTTTTAGATTTGTGGACAAATATATATACTTCCAATATTGCACCGTTCTTAGATATCTCAATAGAAGTATACTAAAATATGATTCAACTGCAATACCACATACATAGACGTCAAATTGATACTCTCCTTTCTTGAAGTCGTTTAAAAAGATGCATATTACCATAATACAATTTATTCAGAAGCTTAAAGGCTTTCAAATCATAATTTTTAATTGGTACCAATAAATCTTCAGGATCTTGACGGAGAGTTGGAACGTATTTCGTCTCACGTGAAGAAGGACATGCGTAATCCCACCTCAGCTGTGGAACTTCTAACGGGGAAGCAGTATCGGAAAGCGGTTATTATTGTTGTTGGTATGTTTATAGCTACATAGTATCTTATCGAAAAACATGAAATACTACAATTACTCGTAGCCCTATTCATTCATTTTTAGACAGTATAAATGTGCAACCAGGATTGGTTGAAAATCAAAATCTAAGTTTAACTCTAGATTTGCCTGTGTTAATTTGAGCCCGGCGTTGACTGGACCGCCAGTATAGCAAGCTTCCCACTACCTGCCTACCCGGCAAAATGCATATCGTCGCTTAGCTAACAATACCGCATAAGTCAGATTTGCTTAGTTTTCAGGAGAGACAAAAAACTGTATTACTTTAACATTTTGTACAATACATGCATGATAAAAAATTTAATATATTGTATTTAGTTAAGCATGATAACTATAAAAACAAATAAAAGAAATATCGTCTTATTAGGTCATTTTCAAGACTTGAGCAGTTTTACTCTAACAAAATAAAGACTTACGCGGTGTTTTTACCTTTTATATTCAAGCTCTATAAGTCTTTCATAGAAAATTTTCTATGAAAAACTATCGAAATAAAAACATTTTTATAAAACTAATTATTAACTTCAATAAAATAAAAAAAGATTGCTAAATTAGCTTTTTATCAAAAAAAAACACATTTCTTTGCCGTTTTATTTTCTTATTCCAACAGGACAACCCTTGCCGGGTTCGCTAATATTATAATATATTATAGGAACTCACTGACTTTTACGACTGTACTGTTTGACGAGATCAACTACTTACCTACTGAGATCAATAAAATTATCTAAGTTACAATGGAAACCAGAGGTGGTTTGCTTTGTAATTTAGGTAATTTTTTCCATAACTTCTAATAATTCTAAACTCTCAAAAACTTTAATAAAATGGTACATTTAACACAAACAATATAAGACAATAAGAACACTTCGAATACTTAACCTACTTCTAAAAATAATACAAAATGTTTATGGATGAAAAATATTTAATTTTTATAAGGTAACTCATGATAATATGCGTGGCAGTTCGAAGGTATCACTGCCTTTAAATCTTGGAGATCCTTATATTTTCTTTGGGAAATTGGCAGTCTTTCAGAAAATAATTTCGGCAGCTCTTCTAAAGGTTTTACATTGGTAATTTTCATTGGACGCTGAGGCAACGGCTGCAAAGGTTCGTCAAAGTTATACCAAATAGTTCCATCTGGTTTATATTTTAATACCCTTAAATCGGTAATAGTGGGATCTCCGAATTTTCTGCCCGGACGAATGGTTTTGTAAATTAAATCCTTACTGAAATTGGTAAAAAAGAGAATTCTAATAATCGAGACTCATATGGCATTGAGTTATCTCTAGCTGTCTTTGTTATATTCGCATACTGGGAAGGAAGGTAAATTTCTTTTCCCTTTAATCTACATTCGATGGCACTGTGCACAGAGTCGCATTCCATCTGCGTGTGACCTTTTTCTAAGATGTTTTGAGTTATTTTAACTTTTTTATCGATGGATAAACGCAGAAGAGCATTACTTAAGATGGAATTTCGATTTTGTGCACAGCAGCCATCAGAATACAATATTACCGGTAGTAATTTTCTATTTAAAATTATCTGTAGTTGATCCACAATGCACGATGCGAAAACAGAAGCTTCAAGGGAGCCATTTGATTCATCGAACCAGTAGCAGCAAGCTTCATGTGTTGACAAATTGTACATGGTAAAATTGTGAACAGATAAAATGTCTTGTAGTATATGGCACTAGCCTGAAGGTAGGGAGCAAATTTTACTGATTGAACATCTTGCGTAAATACATGACACGTTTTTCCTTCTATTGCCAATTTTTTGTCAGTGTCTTTTTCTTTTCTAGCTTTGTCTTTCCTATCGCGATGTATTGCAATTTCAGTATCGTTTATATTTCCAACTTTATGACCACAGCATACATCGCATTGATCTTTTTTGGGATGAAACAGACTAAGATTCTGTTTTAAGAATACATTGTCAAAAACCCTACGACTAAGACATTTTAAGGAATCTAATTCGCATTTACTGACGTATTCTTTGTTTAATTGTGCCATGGTATGAAATACTGGTTCTAGGTATCGTCTGGATGAGTTTGCTCGACAGTAGACGATGGCATCTTCGGCAGGCTATCTATAATTGCTGTAGACGCTCGTGACCATCAGAGTTCTTTTTGGAGCAATCTACATTCCGAGAAATCTCAGAAGGCGGTGGCATAGCACAATCTGTCGTTATCAACCAGTATCGGACAAACCATTCTTTAATACCCAATGTATTTAATAACATTTTTTCTCTATGTCTCTTTTGTAAGTCACGTAAAGTAATAACTTTACATTGAGCGTCAACTCTTGAAAAGTCATCAGGCGTGGTATCATTATCGACCATTTTGTCCATTTTCGTGTTCTGAAGTAAAATATAATATAATTACGATATAGTAATCATTAAAAAAACTGCGTAAAAATCGCTTATTATATCGATGAATACCGCAGCAGTCAGAAACTCAACACAGAAGTACATTGTAAGTCATTCAGACATCGAAACCAAGTAAAGAGAAAACCGCCTAACTCAACGAAACTGTTCATTCCAACACCGCTTAAGTATTCATGTTTTTAAAAGCAATCGTATGACGTATTTTAATAGATAAAATATGAATACTATGTTTTATTTAAGTTACCTTACCTTTAAACTACATCAGTGGAGCCAGTCCGTTACAAAAAATCCGCTTTTTTAAAAACGACAAACGATCTTATAAGGTGCGACGTGGCACGGCCAAATTACTATGGCGTTATGATGACTTGCGCGGTGTTAGCGCAGCCAATGAGTTGTGTTGTGTTACTAGTTTTTGAATAACGCGCTCTTATTGGACGATATTACCTCTAGCGAGAGCTCATTAGACGCGCGGGAAAGTAATCTATCGAATGGTGTAAAAAACGTCATTTGGCTAAAATATGACTTGTGCGGTATTGTTAGCTAAGCGACGATATGTACTTTATATGAATTATTTGTTCGGTCATGTTAAAATATTTGAAGGTTGAATAGATCCATTTTCGACTAATAATACCCTATTTGTTATATTTGTTCCTATCTCTGATGAATCCAAAATTCGACAATCTCTGTGTCAATCCATATTTGTGCTGCAGAAGCGGGCTGTTCGGGGTATTTGTTGTGTTTCTCCGAGGGAGTCGGTACGGAATAGGTTTAGGGAATTAAATATTATGACAATATCTGGTCAATATATTCTTGAAGCGTTGTTGTATGTCCAAAAATTATAAACGATTTTAAAACAAATGGTGACTTTCACCAGTATAATACGCGAAATAGAACTAATTTGAGTGTACGACCAACCAGGCTCCAAAAGATAAACCCCTCCTTATATGGAAATTGTATTCGTTTTACAACAAACTCCCAAGCGAAATTAGAGAATTATCACTAAAAGCCCTCGTTAAACGAAAATTAATCAATAAAGCTTTTTATAAATTTGAGGAATACTTAAATGATCCTAATCCTTGGGATTGATTTGCTCCAGTTCAATCAATTTGTATGACAATTAAAACTTAAAAGTACTTGGCGATTAAAAAGAGTGGCGGAAAGTTTCTTGCCAGTTCTTCTTACCCGCTCTACGCCCTTGACTTACGAACTGGTAGTAAATGTAAATTAAATTTACAATTAATTTAACTTATTTCTGACAATTCATAAGTGTACTTGTTTACCTACATTAATAAAGATATTTTGAGTTAGAGTTTTGTCTGGTTTTATACCCTACGTGCACGCACATTGTACTTGTCGTCCGTGTCAGTACTGTACCCAAAAATGGGCGTAAACCGGCATCGACACCGGTTCAGTGGAAAAACGCAGCCCCGGCACCAGTGCCAGCTGACGCCAGTGACGGGCCGGTGAGTGGAAAACGGCCAATAAATCTTATTGCATCTTCTTCTACGTGTTTTGTGCGATAACAAAGTTTATTGTTATTTCTTATGACAAATATCTATCTCTGTGTCAGAGTTTTGGTGTAGTTTATGCTTTAGGCTTGATCTCATAATAAGGAAATCGAACAAAACGTTACTAATATGTCCGAGTGCTTAGGAAATTAACCAATATCTCATTTTCCAGGACTAAAACTGGTTCAGATAATGTCCGGAACTCAGGCAGTCCAGCAATACTTAGCAGTTATCATGAAGGAGAGCGGAGCTGAACTCCCCCTCTCCATAATGCTGATCATATTTGGAGCTATAAAATTTGGTGTTGGTAAGTTTTTGGTAAAACCTCGAATCTTTAAATTAGCTAGAAAATTTTACAAATTATATTTTTTTGATTAATTGGCAGATTTCAGCGATATCTTCTTTCAAGCATAAACTAAGTTATCTTTTACAGGTATCATGTCTTCATTCCTTGCGGACAGAGTCGGTCGTCGTCCCCTCTTTATCTTCTCCTTCCTTGGCTGCAGCATTGCCTTAGCTACCGTCGGGACCTACTTCTTCCTTCTAGAAGTTATTAAAGTTGACCATGCTTCTATCAAGCCTTTTGCCTTATTGGCATTTATCGGAATCGTTTCTTCAAATGTCATATCCACACTCGGTTTTAATTCTATCGCTGGCGTCGTTCAAGGGGAAGTTTTTCCTATAAATGTAAAAGCTGTAGCTATCACATCCGTGAATATATATGGAGGTGTTCTGGGCTTCTCAACAGTGAAGCTTTTTCAGGAAGTAAAGGACGCAAGTGGATTGTGGGGGGTGTTTTTGATGTACGCGACGATTTCGTTGATGGGTTCGGTATTTTCATACTTTTATATCCCGGAGACAAAGGGTAAGAGTTTGAGAGAAATTCAGGTAATGCTACAGGGAGAGGATTATGACCAGCAAGAGATGAAGAGTATGAATGAGAAGGATGCATGTTTGGATGAGACACAGGATCTAAAAGAAATGAATGGAAAGAGTTGACCAATTTGGAAGATATTCTTAATAATAAATCGTTTATTTGCAAAGAAAGTGGTACATTCAGATTGATTAATTATAAAAAAAACACCGCAAAATCAGTCACGCAAGAGTCATATTAATTATCATTATGTAATAATAATAACAACAGTTATTTATAATTGTTGTCATAACTTATTGATATTCAGATAACTGTATGTTTGGTGATGCGGTATATGAGAAGTATTTTGAAGGTTAAACCACTTTAATATTGTTTTTAGAATTAGAATAGGGGCCGAATGGGCAGGAGGCTCTCCTGATGTTAAGCGATAACGCCCATGGACACTCTCAATGCCAGAGGGCTCGCGAATGCGTTGCCGGCCTTTTAAGAATTGGTACGCTCTTTTCTTGAAGGACCTTAATTGGTTTGGAAATACTTCAGTGGGCAGCTGGTTCCGGACTTGAAAAACGCTCAGTTGTGGAACGGCGGACGTCCGACGATGAAATTAAGTACTAGGGTTGTTCAATAAAATGATATAATGGCTATGACGCAATTATCTTTTATTGAAGATAATTTTATTCTTAACGTAGTCAGTAATTTTTAGAAACACATTCCTAATAGACGCAAAAGAGTACTTATATTTAAAAAAAACAAAAGAGAATTGATTGCTTTTTTATCATTATATCTATAAAGTACGCCTGCCAGTACTTTTATTATTTCTAAGGAGAATGTATTATCACTATTTATTGAACACCCCATGGTATGTGAGGAAATCTTAAACCTATTTTAATTATACTTAGTGTTTTTAAAACATTCGTATAATGTATCTATGCATTAATGTAACATGTTCGTAAAGAAAACTCCCTGAAATAAATTTCCACGAGTCCTTCAAACGCAAATGAGGAATCAGATAGCAATTAATTATTGAAGTTATACTTCTTTAGGCGCGTTATGAAAAATTTATGAGAGTGAAATTTTACAATGCGCGCGCACCCGTGACACAAAATTAGGAGTGTGATTATAGCGTGCGCGAGCGAGATAGGAATAAGACAATCTACAAGTAAAAAGAAATAGAATATGCGTGAAGTTCGTATGCCAACAATTTTGAATGACCATAATGACATTTGTCATTTACCTTTTAAACAAATAAAGGAGTTTTAATTATTTTTTCAAAGAAATTTAGCGATGCTTTTTGAATTATAATCAGAAGTGATTTAAATTGAATATTTAAACCAATACTAATTAATATTTGTGAAAAAACTGTGCTCATCAACTTTCCTAAGTGCTTCAATACAATTGAGGTTAACTATCCGTATGTATTATTATTATTATCGAGTAATGTTTTGATTAAAAAATTAACCACATTGTTTAATCAAAACATGTAATTTTTCTGATTTAATAAATAAATAGTATAGGCAAAAATGTAAAAAGAAATCTATTTAACTAAAAATTACCTACTTTTAGTCTGCATAGGACAAATACATTTCTAGATCATCAAGATTCATTTTAATGTGCGATTTGAACTATGGAGGTGGAATAATTTTACAAGACTCGTAACGGAATTATGGTTTTGGTTTTGTCCAAAAAACACTGAGATAGTTATATAAGGCGTGGACCGGAAGAGCTTTAAAGTCTCCGTCACTCTTAATAGCCAAGTTGTTTTTTATATCATACTTATTAAAAAAAGATTATATTTGCCAAATTATTACTTTTATATAAAGAGTCGTTATACGCGACAATATCATAATGTTGTATAGTTGAAATAAACTTTGTAGCAATAAAACTTGTTTAATTTACAATTCAATTTTCTTACGAGTCAATGATTGAAGTCCCTTCATGTAGCAAGATAACATCAACAACGGTCAAGTCTTAGCACTAAGCACAATAAAAACGAATTTGCGTAAAACATTTTAAATAAAAAATAAAATTATTTTCTCTTGTGAAAGATTTTACCGTTAAAGTACATATAGTTAGGCGTTCTGTTACTACCTACCTACCTTTATTTATATAAATAAACTTATTTTTAACAAAATATTTGTACAAATGTGCAATTATTTGTATATTTGCCTGTATATTTTTATCAGGCGCTGGGGGGAATTGTAATAACATTGTTCGATATCTTAATTCCATGATAGGTACAGCATCGAGGTTTGAAAACCTAGGAAGAAGCAAAATATGAACTATGAAATAATCGATAATTAAATATAGTGAGTGCACTAGGATAGGTGACCAGCCATTCAGACGTCAGAATGGACGCTCACTAAAATTGTTATGGTTCTGTGAAGATACTAAGGAAGCAATTGTCTTATAGTAGGAATTAAATAGAGGCATTTGGGAAGTAATTTTTTAACTATATTTTAACGTTATACACGACAAGTGACCGTCCATTCTGACGCTCACAAAAAACACTATCACTGAAGTTGCGGTTGATGAACTTAAAGCCCGACCAATAAAATAAACGCCATCATTCCGAAATAATTTCATCAAATGGCAACATTCTGTTAAATGTCATTACCGATTGTCACTGTCATCAACTGTCAAAGTGTGTTAATGTGCTGCTTCGATTTTTCATGCTAACTCTTGGATATTCTGAGTTATAAGTGCGTTAAATACCGAAAACTATTAAACAATTGTTTACCCTATGACAAAGTATTTGTCGGATAGAAAGTCTGAACTGGACTCTATAAACAATCTGTCAAATGTCATGCGATTTCCCTTGTATGTGTTGCTATAATCATCGATCATTAACCGCTCCCAAAGCAGTTTTTTAATTTTTTTGTTCGAGCTTACAGAGTACTGGCGCTGACATCATATTTCCTATATTAGTTCATAAACCCGTTATCACTGCTGTTGGCGAACTAAAGAGCGTCGAGGAAAATGTAAAAATTTATAGGCAGGTTCAAATAAAATAAAACGTTGCAATAGAAACCGTCTCCGGGTTTTTTGAAATCGATTAATAAACTTTAATGTTTAATGCTCTGTTGTAATTTTATGGGCGAGTGTGTGTAGAAGATGCGTTATAAATACTTGGTTTCGCATAATACATAATGATCCGGTAAAGGCATTAATGACTAATTCCATAACTATGATAATGTAAGTAACGCACGGAAAATAGAAAAAAATGTTTTAATGGATAAAACAATATCTAAGAATAAGTGCAAGTTATAGACATAGGTTTTATTTAAATTGTTTGTGACGATGGACGATGGAAGAAAGTTGCAGTATATGGTGGCTTTTGCCGGTAAGTAATAATTACGAAATAACAATTTAATAATAATAACTTTTTTTAGTAAAAATCGATATTTTGTGTAGACACGCATTTTCTACCATATAGCTGATAATTTGTCATAGATAATTTAATTATCTCTAACATGAATTCGTGAAACTAAACGTTTTAAAATGTACTCTTAGTGAGACCGTTATATTCTGTATAATACCATAATGACGTTTCAGTATCATTATTTACTACTACAATGGGAATGATCAACTCCTGGACCTTATCTATGTTGATGAAGTTCTGGTACAGTCAAACTAATACCAAAATTGAAGACGTAAGTGTTAAAGCTAAAATATAGTTACTTAAATACCTACCTGTAAATAAGTATAGATATGACACGATAATGTAAACAAAAAATAAAATAAATCAGTGGCGCTACAAGCTCTTTAGGGCTTGGCCTCAGATTTCTGAATCTGGTTCATCATTTTTAAATCTAATAGGCAAGTAAGTCTAAGCCTCCAGTGCCTGACACACGCCGTCGACTTTTGGGTGTAAGACATGTCCGTTTCCTTCACCGTTCGAGCATATTTTAAATGCGCACATAGAAAGTCTAAAGGTGCACCGAACCGGCCGGGGATCGAACCTACGACCTCAGGTATGAGAGTCGCACGCTGAAGCCACTAGGCCAACTCTGCTCGATAATGAAAACATAAGTTTTATAAAAAATAGTCTATAAAGTAGGTATTTGTAGATAAAATTATACCCAGGGAACACCAATGTCCCGATATCGGCCTCGTAGTTATGAAACTACAAAAGTACGAATAGGGGTCTTTGAAATGAACTTTAGAGTTTTCTAGTTCTTCAATTGTTTTCTTAATGGTCATCGGTGAAACTTTGATGCTAGTTTGCATGACGGCAAGTGATGCATTTACCAATGACAATTAAGCGAAGCACAGCACAGAACTTAGCACACAATTGTTCCACACGTGGAATTAACGAATATTACAGATACCGGCAAACATCTTGAACATTGAACAAGGGAGTGGGGGAAAGTTTGCGCAGCGCGGGACACAAACGTCAACAGATTTTTCAATCACGCGATCGACACGTCACTCTCCTGCCGCCCAGTGATACCTAAAAATCGCTTCTGCGCAGGCAGGGACATTTGTTCAAGATGTTTGCCGGTATCTGTAATGTATCGAAGTAAGTTTAGTATGGTTTAAAATACTTGTATTGTTTTAAGGTCAAGGTTAATTGGTTCTATAGGATGATACCAATCGGGCTAGTGGTTGGTTCAGTGACGGCCGGATATCTATGTGATCGTTTTGGCTGAAGGACTACAATATTAATTGCAGTGGTGACTTCAACATGTGCATCGGTAATACAGAATGTTTACAAGATTTATTTAATGTACAAAAAGTTAAGTTTGCAACCGCTTTTGCGTTTTAGGTTTTTCAACAATTTTGAGATATCACGTTTTTTAGTTTTTTGAAAGAAAAATGCAACATCAAAAAAATCATTCAAATAAAATCTCATCCTTTGATTAAAAAAGTAGTGAGTTAAGTTCAATGTTTTAGGTACTTTCTGCCGTAGCGACCACAGCATGGATTCTGTTCATGACTCACATACTATGGACTTCCTCTTGGGGTATTATGTCGAGTGTATGTATAACTTAGTTATTAAAAAGTCAAGTAGATTTGAAAAGATTTTCTTATGGGTGAAAGCTCTTCATGATACAAATGCTTAGAATATTAAATAATAATGTTTATGCTAACTAAACAAATTATTAAAACTTTTGGATGCTATTTTTATGCGTCAGTATCTGTGAATGAATATATAATATTTAGAAATAATGAAATTTTTAATTGGCGGTAGATAGTACCGGTGAACCCAAAGCTGGTTCCTGGCTCAACGAATTTGAAAAAAAAAAAAACGCCGTATCTCATGTCATATTAAAACGTGTTTATTTTTTTTTCTAACAATTTTCCTCATTTTAACATAATATGTGATGTTTGAGAGCATAAATAAAATATTCTAAATTACTAAAAGTTTATAAATATTATATAGAATATTAAAAAAAAATATTCTATATAAAAGTTTGGTCAGTGTACCTGTGGCAGAGTAACTTTAACGCTGGCAGCATTTCCTCGCTGTATTGCGATACTTACTCGTTGAGCCAGGAAAATACCAGCTCTGGGGTCACCGGTACTATCTACTAGGCGTCAACTTAAATCTTTAATAAGAGCCTGAGAAATTAATATTTAAAAAAGTAAATATTTAAAAAAGCATTCTAAAGACACATAGAATATCATCATTTAAAATTTATCGTTATTTTTTGGATTATTTGTTGTAGGAAATTGAACCTGAATTTCAAAGAATGAGGGTACATGCTAAATTGGAGTTGGAAAATCCTAACACCTTCATTGACTTTCTCAGCGATAACATTTATCGTAAAGCTGTGATAATAACGTTTGGTGAGTTACAATTGCAATCACATACAATAGTATTGTCTTTGATTAACATAACTTTTATTCATTTAATAAAACACTATTTTGACCGGATTGAAGTTATGTATTATTATAAATTTACAACTATTTAACATAATTTTAAATTTATCCGACGTTTCGCGTGCTTTACAGCGTGGTATCGACTAAAAGATGGAGGGTTTCCTCGTCTTTTAGTCGATACCAACTCCGGGGAAATAAATACAGATAATGCAACTTTCTCTGCAGCTGTGATACTTTTTGACATTCAACATCTTTTGTCTTCAGTCACCGTGACCACGCACGCTGTAAAGCACGCGAAACGTCGGATAAATTTAAAATTATGTTAAATAGTTGTAAATTTATAATAATACATAACTTCAATCCGGTCAAAATAGTGTTTTATTAAATCACATACAATTACAATATAAATCCTGCTCAGATCTCTTAAAAAGCCAGCAGGTCATTCTAGTCATTCCACCTTATTGGCCCAGGTGATCGACAATGAAGTTATTGAGGAGGTGGAATTACCATCCAAAGTGTCCAACATACGTTTTTGATATAACAGTGAAATTTAGGTAGGGTCCTCAAGATAGGTGAAAAACAAATTTCAGTATCGCCGTACCAGGCGTCTCTATCTCTCATCAAACTGCTTAGATACGAGTGACGAGATCCGCGTTCAATGTATATTGAAAATGTGTGATTTCTCTTTATACATAGGTACATATATTTGTTTATTTGTTTCATCAGACGACCCAATAATCTTTCTTTTTTCTAATTTTTCCCCAGTTAAATATTTTTTTATTACAGGTTTAGAGTTGATATTTCTTTTATCGGGAACAACTGCGATTCCAGACCACTTCCTTACTATATTGAGTGAATGTAAGATAAACTTTAGTCCTTGGAAAATGTTGGTTCTGGATGTTGTTATCAAAATTGTTATTGGTAAGTTACGCGTATCCCATATAGCTTTATTGATATACTCTTTAAGGGGCATCGCATAATAGGTATCACCCGTATCCCTTTGACGTTGGACGTTACACAATTGAACGTTTTTTTATCACGCACCATTGACTCTTGAACCAACTGCCCAACGAGGAATTTACAAATAATACGGCTTGGTCTTGGAGAAAAGACCAAGCACGTAGATAAGTAATCCCTTTCATGCAGTGTTCGATTCTCGATATTGCGTTAAATTATAATGAATTATGAAAAAGAAATTTAAACAATACTTTTGGCTCAAATTTTTCGATAGTTTAGTTTATTTATTTATTAGTAATCTTACAGTTAACATACATATTATAAAACAAAACACTTACACAATATACAAAGCTAAAACAGATTGCATAGATAAACAATACATATGAAACAGAAAAAATATCTACATTAATAGACAAAAATAAAAAGAAAATACTTTATTTTAATTCTTGCTCTGTGCATGTTCCATAGATTTGGTAATTAACAATTCTTAATATGCTTACAGAGAGTTGAAGTTTTCTATACAAAACTATTATCAATTCATATATTATATATACATTTTTTGTTCTATTCTTTATATTATACTTAATATTTATTAGATTAAGTTCCAAATTCTTCAACAGGTATACTCTCTGCTTTGCTAATAGACATAGTGGGTCGTCGCATTCTTCTTCTATCCTCACTTATCGGATGTAGTATCTCCATGGCTATAATGGGACTATTCTTTGCTGAACGATATGAGATAGGATCGCTTAAAGTCTACGGTCATATCACATTTGCAGCTCTCATTGTATATCTCATTTCCACATCACTGCGCCACATTAAGGATGTTATTCAAGTCGAAGTGTTTCCTCTGAACATAAGAGCAATGGCTGTAGGAACTCTATATACTTTGGAAGGACTTGACTATGCAATTAACAATGGTTTTACAAATCTCAAAATTGGCGTATTTGTAATTTATTGGATATATGCCGCAGTTGCGTGTGCGGGATATGTTTTTACATACTATCTCCTCCCGGAAACAAAAGGTTTGAGTTTGAAGGAAGTTCAAGAGATGCTTCGAGGTGGGGATGGAAATGAACATGAAATGACGGATAACGACAGATCAAATAGATGACAAGTGACAGAAAAGGATTGCAAAAAGAATTAGTTTAGTAATATTTAATAAGTTATTTAATACTTAATTATAATTTATTATTACCTAAGTTTCCCAAGCTTTGATTTAAGAGTCTATATAATTAAGAAACCGGCATGCCTTAGACCAAGTGGCGGCCCTGTGTCAGGCACAGAAGGTTGATCACCTTATCTTTTAGAAAAAACAAATGATCACCAAACAAATACTGAGGCCCAGACCTAAAAGGTTGTGGGGCCCTTGATGTCTGGTGTCTTAAGTCTTTAGATAATATCGTATTTTACCTTTTTTATATATAATAGGGGGGGCAAACGAGCTTGCGGGACGTCCAAAAAGGGCAGTCATCGCAGCCCATAGACACCCATTTTAGTGGGTGCGTTGCCGGCCTTTGAGGGAGGAGTATATTCGTTTTTTGAACATTTGGAGGTCGTATCTCTGAGGAAAGACCCCCACCGGGAGTTGATTCCGATTTTTATATGTAAATAGCTAGATTGATTATTTGTTATAAATTATTATCACAATTATATATGAAAACTTAATATTGGGAAAATCCGTATAAACCCGTGATTTTAACAGTAATACCAATCATAAATTAACAATGGGCTGTATCATTTGACAGTTGTGTGACAGTGACAAGATTTAATCACGATATTAAGTTTTTACGGTAATTGGCAACAATAGTAAACAGGTATTAAACGGATATTTTGTATTGCCAAAGTGTCAGGACGTGTTTGAAACTGGTTTAGCTACTTATAACGTTGATGTCAGATCTCAAAAGGCTTTGAGGAAAACACTACGTGCGTGCGCGAACAATTTATTGAGAACCTGTATAATACAGTTTGAAAATAAGTCGTTTGGTATTTTAAAAATTTATTCATATTTGTTCTGTGCAATGTATTGCTAACTAAAGGATACGAGAGATTTCCTTACGATTTTTCCTGTTAATCTTAGCATTATGTAGTAAACAAATGAATATAAAATTGAGGACGATATTAAGAAAAGTGAAGGAAAATGATAAATTTAATCGGTGATATTGTTATAATTTGAAGTATTATTTATTTCCCTAATAATGGAGGATGGAAGAAAGTTGCAGTATGTGGTCACATGTGCCGGTAAGTTTGTTTCAAATAAAGTATACAATGTTTTATGCTTCGTAGAAAATATAGTAGTGCGATCTTGACACATATAATATGGTTTGTTAACAGTGACTATAAGAAAATTAAAAAACTTAAATTTATAAAGATATTGTTCAATTTTGAATTCTAATGTGAAATGACCTTAATGGGAAGCTTAAAACCTAGATATTTTAACGTTCAATCTCCACGATAGTCACTTGTTTACTAACCAATGCTGGCATAGTCTGAATTGTTACGAACCAAATTAACAAATTGGATCAATGGTTTGCAATATAATTATTAAAGTAAAACGACGCTCTTTTTACATTCTTGCAACGTACTGTAGCATGGTGTATAGTTAGTTGGTCAGTGTTATATTAACCATAATTATTGTTTTCGTATAAGTAGCTCAATTGTAACAGTTTATTTATTTTATTTATTTATTTTATTCCATATCATTATTCTATCATTACAGTTATTACTAATTCGATAGAACGACACAATATTTATACCCACTCCGATTAACCTAGATAAAAAACATTAAAAAAATATATTTGTATACCTAAATCCTATCACTAAATAGTATAAAACAAAGTCGCTTTCTCTGTACCTATGTATGCTTAAATCTTTAAAACTACGCAACGGATTTTGATGCGGTTTTGTTTTAATAGATAGAGTGATTGAAGAGGAAGGTTTATATATATATAACATCCATGAAATAGTGGAGAAATACTGTTATTTTTGAGGTTTCTTTTTTATCAAAATAATGTACTAAGTATTGTACACATTGAAAAGGTCTACAGAAAACTCCGCGATACATACCATATGGTATATATCTATCTCTTAGGGATATCCCACAATAACATTTTTTTGTCATTTACTTTTTACAACAAATAATGGCTAATTTTCGATGGATTGTTGTACCGCAATTATAATATGACAAGGCGTGACCAAAACAATGATCCAGCTTGCTTGTAAAATTATATTAAAAAAAATATCCGGTTTTTCATGACCCTTTTTTTCATATTCACTAATGTTTCCTTCGTCTCTCAACGGGGTACGCACTTGTTCTACACAATCATATTAATAAAGCAGACTTCATCGTGACATTTAAATAGATAATATTATAATTTAAAATTAAAATAACTTAGAATTGAGGTTTTCTCAAAAAGTATTGTTAACAACGTTGATATGGCGACCAATATTTGGCCTTGGTAATGTATATGTATATTTTGATATTGCTATTTTCTCTATAAAACACGCCAATTTGATTCTGTTTCCTTAAGCGCTTGGAATCTTTTAGTGTATAAAAATAAACGAATAAGAATCTGGCTTGTAACTAATTTATTTTATTGTTTGTTGGATACAAAAACAAAATGTATATATATCATATAATGATTTTATTTGAGAACTAATGATTGCGAAAAGTGGCCATGCGTTTAATTATTGTTTCATTGACCTGCCCTGGCCATTCTATGAAATATATGTATGATATGATATGATATCATGATGATTATAGCATGAAGAGTTTAATCTTACGATCCAGTCACGAAATATTGAATCATCATCATCAATGGTTATACAGCCCCTTATGGGCCGGGCCTTAGCTTCCTCAAGTACACTTCGCCATCGCAATATATCCAGTGCTTCCCGAGTCCAATTGCGAACCCCTATTGTTTCGATGTCCTTGATAACTCCATCCCACCAAGGCAGCCGCTGTCTACCAGGTTTTCACTTGCCACCGGGTTGTGAGTTCAGTAAGGACCTAGGGGTTCTGTCGATCGCCATTCGGTGCACATGTCCCAGCCACTTCAGCCTGTTGCACTTTATGAATTGGAAGATGTTGGCGTCGTCTAGGATGTTATAAAGTTCTTCATTGTAGCGAATACGCCAAACACCGTCGTCGGACCAAAGATTCTTTGTAGAATCGAAATATTAAATACGCAACAGGTCATTGGGCAAAGGTCTCTGACATTGCAAAGTCATAACAAAGTTTTTATTTGTGTTTTAGTTGAAAGGGCCGAATATTTATGAAATTTTTGTGCTAATAATTAAAACTTGATTGTGTATAGTTATCGTTCATAATAATACAATGCCGAATTAATAAATCTTACAACGCTTATTAAACGCTCTTTTATTTAATCTTACCCATATTACAATAACAATTTCGTCAACTGCCTAGTTATTATAAAATTCTGATTTCCAATGGCCGGCTAATTAGCAGATAGAAAGCCTAAAATCAATTCAAAACAGAATCGATATTGAAGTCACAGGGTAAGCCAAATAATCAATTTGATTACAGTATCTATACTAACGTCGACTATGGGTTTCATTAATACGTGGGCAACACCAATGATAAGGAAGTTTTGGCTGGATGAAACCGATTTTCAATTTAATGATGTGAGTATTTTTACTAAGATATCCAGAAAGAGTGGGTAAGGAAAACGTCGGACTATGTTATTTTTTTTTTTAATTAAAAATATTTTAATGGTAAAATAAACTGTATCTTTGATAGCAAATATATGTCAACATCTTTGTCTTCAGTCACCGTGACCACACACGCTGTAAAGCACGCGAAACGTCGGATAAATTTAAAATTATGTTAAATAGTTGTAAATTTATAATAATACATAACTTTAATCCGGTCAAAATAGTGTTTTATTAAATATATGTTGGATAGCAGCGGTATGGTTGTATAAATCTTCCATCTATCAATGAAATTGTGTTGAAGTACTGTTTGAGGAAAATAATAATTTGAATATGGAACTTTTTGCATATTTAATTGATAAACACGTTTACTGAGCTGGCCCACAGATAAAATTTGAAGGAAATGTATAAAATAGTGGCCTTTCATTCTTACTATGCATTATCGAAACTAAAAATAGTAGTATATTATTTTTTAAAATCAGTAGTGCTAACAATCCTTGTTTTAACCTCAGATTTTTGCAACTGTTTCGTCATTTATAGATTGTTCTATTGGGCAAGTAGGTGATTAGACTTCTGTGAGTGACACCGATATCGAATTTTGATTACAAGGCGTGCCGGTTTCGTTACATGCGGGTGTTAAATATTTAAGACAATTTTAATAATATAGACTCTTAAAACAAAACTTGGTAGACTTAGTTAATAACTATAAAGTGTAATTTTTTTAATAATATTTTTTTTATTTTAATATTATCGAAAACATCGATTAATTTAATCACATAAATTGTAAATTAAACCGACTTCCAAAAACCCCGGTCACTACCAATAAATCTTGAAAACTATGCTTCATACAATCTTCATGAAACAGAAATCAACTAGTTACTACTTATTACATTTATTGTCTTTTTGTTGAAGTCCCATTAATATCATTACTTTTTATGTGATTAGTAATTAAAATAAATATGTTTTCTATTTAACATTATAAGCACCTAATGCTTTATGGGTTGACATACCCTTCAACCTATTTATCTAATAAAATATTTTTTCTTGCCAAGCCATTGCAAGCCGCAAGCCTTGCTTTTTTATTCTGCGCCTCGGAAAAATTCGGTACCAACGATGGTTTCCTTAACACTGTTCTTGTATATATTTTAATCCCTTTTATAACATTAATCACTGATTACTTATGTTTCTAGGAGGAAACAAAATGGTTCCTCAAGATAACACCAATAGGGTTGTTGGTTGGAACTGTGTTTGCAGGATACATTTGCGACAAATTTGGCCGACGAACTACATTATTAACAGCTACAGTGATCGCTGCTTTTGGATCGGTAATACAATTTAATATTGTTTTGGTTCTATTAATAAATAAGACTATTTATATATAAGTCTCTCGTGTGGATTTCGTGTAGCTTATCAAATTTTTGCGACCTTTTCAACAATAACGATGTTTTTATTTAAATAAAAAAATCATGAAACCATCCTTAAACATACAATGTGCAGGTAAAAATAGGTAAAAACATCAGTTTGGTAGTTTTTGATTTTGTAATATGTAGGATTCTCCTGGCTGACCGTGCTACGAAGGGAGATTGTACAAATATGGCAAGATCCTTTAAAGTGGTGGTATTGGTCGTCTCTGAATGATAGCTATCGCGCAGGCGCAATATATGCTGCAAGATTACATAAAATTTGAGTGAATGCTTCATCCAAATTCTTCCATTTGTCTCTCATCTTCGCTACTACTATTTTCAATCATTCTCCGCTATCTCTTTTATTTCTTCTTCCCAGGTTTCCGGTGGGCGTCCTCTCTTTTTCCTCCCACTGGACCGTTCCAAGTAAGGGTATTTTTCACTCATCTGTCGTCACAAACGCAACTAAATAAGGAATAAATAGGAAAAAATTGTCTTCTTGTCTAAATCTTTTCAGATTTTTGCTGCTTTATCATCAGCAGCATGGATGCTGTATGTAATGCAGGGTCTTTGGACATTCTCTTTGGGTATAGTATGGACTGTATGTATCTGTATAAATGTTTAGTAACTTTGATAGCTCGTACGCCTTGGCGCAAATAAGAATATCACTTGTAAACTTTGCGTTTCTTTATGAATGTTTTGTGATTAAAACGTTTTCTTGCTTACCAGCTAATTCAAAACTTTATTATATGATGCTCTCTCTCGCATCTATCTTAACCATTAAATTCATACTGTTGTACAGAAAAACTGTTTGAATGATTTTTTGTCTTTCCGTTTAGTTCCAAATACACTAACCGGGGACTGCCTAAGTTTTCTTTACATTGTTTTATTAAAAATTTGACATACAGTACCTACAGAAAATAAATGACAGAAATGTTACTATTTGGATACATAGCACCGACTTTGGTAGTAGTTTCTGTATAGTAATTCTTCATTTTCCCAGGTTGGAAATATATATATGGCAGAAATAGTTGACCCCGATATCCGTGGAGGTCTGACTTTGGCGACAAGATTTATGTTCCATTTTGGAAGTCTTTTAATGATTTGGATAGGAGAAAAGGTATCTTACAGAGCTATGAACAATTTGATTATAATTGCACCTTTGCTGTCCTTCGCAGCGATTTACCCAATACCAGAGTCACCTTATTATCTATTGAAAGTGGGGAAGGAGGAACAAGCTAGAAAGGAATTATCTAGGTTGCAGGAAAACGTGGGGACTGAGGTATGTGAGAATAAATGTTACTTGAATATAAGTCACATTAAATAATATGATGTTAAACGCACCAAATTCTCTACTGTTACACTCTTTTTAAGTCTATCTATGTCTATATCTCTAAGAAATTGAATTATAACAATTTTTCAAGTAGTTTATTTTTTTCTCACTCTCCAGAAATGCGCTGAATTTTATAATAATGGTTTTGTAATAACACATTTAATTAACGGCTACAATCTACAAAGTTATTCCGATCACTTACAAAGTTATTCCGATCACTAACAAAGTTATTCCGATCTCTAACAAAGTTATTCCGATCACTAACAAAGTTATTCCGATCACTAAGGATATATAGAACTTTTCGACTTTAACCATTGTAGCCTCTGGGCTGATCAGTAGTTAGACTATTTGAGGATCCTGTCTCCTTCTATAGTTCTGAGCAGACTACATCCTTCTTCCACAATATCACATTAACAAACCCAATTTCGATGTGTCAATAAATATTTACGTGTTTCGAAAAATCGGGATTGATTTTAAGTTACGGACTCATCTTGCAGATTAGCCTATTTTAGGTAAGAGATTTAGACGATGAGTCGTTTGCTGATAATATAAATTTATTGCAGGACATTGATACTCAATTTGAAAAAATGAAGATGCATGTCACAACGGAGATGCAAAATCCTAGTTCGTTTTTCAAATTCTTTAGCAATAAAAGGTATCGAAAAGCTCTGATTATAACATTCGGTGAGTAATGTGACACAATGAGTTTGACACAGTACTAAATGCTAACATCTGCGTAAAAATTTTCACAAATATTTTACGCGTAGATTGCGTTTAGTAGGTACTTTGTCACCTTTTTGATAGTCTTATCAAAATCTCGACAATTGACTGACTTTTTTCGTAAACGTTTTAGAATTGAAGTTATTCCAATTATTTAAAAAGTTGATGTATATTTTGTTTTTGGCCTTTGCAAGTACATATAAAAGAAACACCTTGTAAAAATTCCTTTTTTATTCACACTTTATTGCAAGAATTAAAACGAATAAAAACCTTTAAAATATTCTTCTGGGCGGTCTTGTTGCTAATAAGAGATCTCTTCCAGATCAAATACTACAATAATACATACGTAAATACAAAGATATGTGAAGTGTAAGAGTGCGAAACTATACAAAATAATAGCCATCGTTGAAAAATACATAGACGAGAAACAAAGATTTATTTTTAGTAAATTACATTTGAAACATTTTGCTATGCTACCCCCAAAATGACAGTTCGCTTTTCCGGAATAAAACCCTGAATATATCAGACTAAATTTTTCATTTTATTTTGTATTTTTCTCTTCATAAAATTCTTCCCTAGATGGATTCATGGATTAAAAAAAAGCTGAAATTGGTCCAGCCGTCTTGGAGATTTGCGTTAAGCAACACATTTTGCGATTATAATCTATTTATATAGATTATATCGTTTCAGGTTTAATGTCGTTCTATATTTTGTCGGGAAGAGCTGTGATGCAAGGATTATACCTCACAATCCTTATAGAGGGGGACATCAAATTGAATCCCAGAAAAATGGTTGATATAGATGTGGGGATAAAACTTGGTATTGGTGAGAAGTATTTTCTTCTTCTATCTTATTTTTACTATTTCTCTAGTACTACCTCGAGTATCCGATTTTATGGTAGCCGACACGGGTTTAATTATTTAGCTCGTAAAGAAAAATATTCAATCAAGCTAGGACCTGTCGATTGGAATCCTGGACTCTCGGTACAGCTACTGTAATAGATAAACTATAAAGCCTATAGCGAAACTAAGAGTAATAGCTTTCATTGATAACAATTTACTATAGACAGATAAATTTGTTCCTGTATTTCATCAAAGTCTATTTTTTGTAATAATTTCACTTAGGTATTGGTCAAATGAAGCACAATTAAAAATGTATGTTAATTCGCTTAGAAATTTTTCACCAATGTAAAGAAAAATTCAGTTTGTAAAAGTAGATTTTAGCAAAGCCTAGCCTGAAGATTAGGTATTTACTGTATTAAAAGAATTATAAATTTCAACAGGTATACTCTCTGCATTACTAGTGGACCGAGTGGGTCGTCGCATTCTTCTCTTGTGGTCATTCATCGGATGTAGTCTGTCATTTGCCGTCATTGCCATATACTTTGAAGTCCGAGATTATTATACTGAGATGATTCAATCCATTGGTTATATAACTTTTGCTGCTGTTATTATATTTCTTATATCAAACTCACTTGGTTTAGCCTCCGTTAAAGAAGTCGTAGAAGTAGAATTATTCCCTCTTAATGTTAGAGTAATGGCTGTTGTGACTCTTTATGTATTCAGAGGACTTGGCTATCCATTAAACTTGGGGCTTATAGAATTTAGGAACTCAGCTGGGCGCGTGAGTGTTTTTTGGACGCTTGCTGTAATTGCAATGCTTGGATTTATTTTTACATACTTCGTCCTACCTGAAACGAAACGTAAGAGTTTGAAAGAAATTCAAGAGATGCTTCGAGGTGATGACAATGTAAGCGAACAAGAAATGACAACAATACATGAGAGAACAGAGAGGTTTAGAGAAAGAGCTGCTTAGAGTAAAATTATTGAATTACATAAATTTGTTATAAAGTATTTATCTTGACCTTTAATAGCCGATATTCGCAGCTTACTTCCAAAGTCTAAGATATCGTCTATTCACTGACACGATCGTAATATTGCCGTAAGCTCTATTATTTTTCCCGTTCATTGTCCCTCATGTTTGGAATATGGTTTTATTTAGTGCAAGTACCTATAAAAACCTCTTTAGAAAATCTTAATGACAATGATTAATTTATGTACAATTTAAAGTTGTATCTATGCGATGGGGGTAAACGTACAGTTAGAACAAAGTTTGAACAACCCGCCGACTTACATACTTAACAGTGCGTTGCCGACTTTTAGTATACATCTAAATTTTACCCCCATAATTACTAGTAAAATGGGTTTGATAAGCGTAAAATAAGTCTACGTCAATTATGAAAGATATTTGTTATTTAATATTCTAAGTGTTTTTTAAACTAGCTATTAATTATCGATTGTTCAGAAAAACTTTATTAGTTTTACATTATTCTTATTAAAAATACATGACTTTATTTGCTAAATATCTTGTATTATATAATTGAAATACACTTTTAGTAATAAAAATTTAATTTACAATTTAATTTTCTTACGAGTCAATGTTAGTAGTTCCATCAAAAAATTGTTTTGTATTTCCCAAAATGACAGGTCGTGTATAAAACTGGTTTGGCTACTTATTGGTTACGTTGGTGTTAGATCTCATAAGGCTTTGAGGAAAACACTACGTGCGTGCGCGATCAATATATTGAGATCCTTGAATTTGTGAATAAATCATTTAGTATTTTTAAAGTTTATTCATATTTCTGTGTAACGTATTGCAAACTAAAGGTAATCCGATACGAGAGATTTCCTTACGATTTTTCCTGTTAATCTTAACATTATGTAGTAAACAAATGAATATAAAATTGAGGAAGATATTAAGAAAAGTGAAGGAAAATGTTACATTTTGGTGATATCGCTTTAATTTGAAGTTTTATTTATTTACCTAATAATGGAGCATGGAAGAAAGTTGCAGTATGTGGTCACATGTGCCGGTAAGTTTGTTTCAAACAAAATAAACAATGTTTTATACTTCGTAGAATATAGTAGCGCAAACTTGATACATATATTAATTTTCGCCTATAGCTCAGGTCCCAATGGCAAGAAATCTGGGCGTAGAATTCGATAGTCATTTGAGGTTCTCTCTTCAAACTTACCTACGCTCTTCCGGTGTACGGGCCTTGTATAACTGCTAAAGCACAACGGTTGATCCAGAGAGTACAAAATGCATGCGCCCGGTTTTGTATCACCATACCACCTCGCTCACATGTCACCCCCTATTTGAACATCTTAAATTTTCTAACAATGGGGGGTCGTCAAAATTGTATTTGGCATGTTTATTATTTGATGTGGTATGTACTAAACAACCGGAATATTTATACAAAAAGCTCCTCTGGCGTAGTAATGCCAACAAGCACAAAGTCAGGCGTTGTACTCAGGAGCTGGCCATTCCCCAGCATCGGACGGCTTCATTTCGTGGGAGTTTTAAATATAGCGCGACGAAGTGCTGGAATAATGTCCCTCCTCCGCTGAAGTGTGTTCAATTAAAGTCGAATTTTAGTCGCAGTTATAAGACACATCTACTTATTCAACAAAAGTCCCACGAAATTTAGTTTTTATCCACCCATAAAACAAAAAATATCTAATTATTTACAATTATTCTTATTTTTAACTTTTAATTTAATTTAATTTAATTTATTATACATCGTTACACACGATTTACTCACACTTCTAACTTTAATATTATTATTATTTTTTTCTACTTGGTATTATTATTATTTATTTTACTTTAGGCGCAAACTAACTGCTGTGGTCTCTGGCAGAATGACCAGCGCTGTGGAACTTTTTGCTCCTCAGCATAATGCTGAGCCAGGGCCAATTACAACCACAGTACACACACATTGCACACTGGAAGCGAACCGAATGGCAAAAGAGATTTTTTTAATTTTAATTTTTAATTTTTATTGTTTTTGATCTCTTTTTTATTTTATTTCTTTAAGTATTGTTATTTTGTGTGTTTATGTGTGTGTGTTTTCGTTTGTAATAAATGTTATATCTATGTCTACGTCTATGTCTATATGGTCTGTTAACAGTGACTTTAAAAAAATAAAAAACTTAATTTTATATAGTTATTGTTCTATTTTGAATTCTAATGTGAAACGACCTTAACACGAAGCTTATAAATCTAGATATTTTAACGTTCAATCTCCACCATTGTCACTTGTTTACTTACCAATACTGGCATAGTCTGTACCTAGTGGCCATACGGTTAATTTCATTAATAATAATAATAATAACCTTTATTCATTTCTCACAAATACTTAGTACATAAACAAGTGACAGTTATATACTATTATAAATAAATAATTGTCTTACTTCTGTTTAGGGAAAATGCTAGTTTGTGTGAGACTGATGCCTGCTTAAGGTAAGAGTACCTGTGTTACAGGTCATCAGGCCTCCACCACTTCGGATCGACAGAAGGTTTTATAAAGTAGAGAAAAATTTAGTGAGAATAAACAATCACTATTACATAGGCTGCAATATGTATAGGGATACATATATAAGGAAACCACATGGGGTATGTGTGTGTGCGTAAATTGTGTGTATACGTGAGTGTGTGTCTGTGTATGTTGTATTACTTAATTGCTAATCTAATTAAGCTAAAACTATTATATTATAAATTTATCCCCTATCATTAACATATATTAGTATCAACTTTATACTCAACTATTTAATTATGGTAATCATTTTTTGCTGTTTCCTCATAGTTGAGGTCCAGTAGCCACGGTGCAACCGTCTTCTTGCACTTATGTTTTGTTAGAGGATATATGGGAATGGAGGTGTTGGGTTTGTGTTTGTTGTGATTCATTCAATGATATATGATTTTTTCATGATCATTTCAATCTATGATGTATATGTATGATAAGATATACAATGATGTTTATTGCGTAAGAGTTCAATCCTACGATACAGTCACGAAATATAGAATACGCAACTGTACTTAGATACCATGAAGGTCATTGGCAAAGGTCTTGGACATTTCAAAGTATTAATTTGCGTTTTAGTTGACATGGGCCGAATATTCATACGTATCGTATAGGTAACGGAATAGACAGACATATCACACAAGTGGGAATATAATATCCATATACAATTTTATTAAACGTTACCCATATTACATTTAATTATTTGGTTAATCTGTAAAATTATTATTTCCAATGACCGGCTAATTGGCAGACAGAAAGCTAGAAATCAAGCCATTCAAAACAGAATCGACATTGAAGTTACAGGGTAAGCCAGCTGACCATTAAATATTTCGACTTGTACAAGTAATCAATTTGATTACAGTGTCTATACTAACGTCAACTATGGGTTTCATTAATACGTGGGCAACACCAATGATAAAGAAGATTTTGCTGAATGCAACCGATTTTCAATTTAATGATGTGAGTATTTTTAACAACGAGGAAAAGTGGGTTAGAGAAACAACGGGTCATTTGAAATTTTGTTTGTTTTTTTTATACTAAAATTATTTTAATTTTTACGTTTGTTAAAGTATAAAGTGATTTTTTGAGGGTGAAGGATGATTCACGCTACACCGTGTCTTGACCGGGCCGTGCCCCGGCCGGGGCACGTCCACCGTGCGCCGGCCTGGACAGTGATTCATATTACACCGGGCTGTTTGGGTGTACGCACGTACGTGTTTGCACGACTATATCTGTTTTTGTCAGCTAGTGATTTCATCTGTCGATAGACTTGACGCTTAAGTAATTATGCAATTTTCACAATTTGAATTGGCAGCTATTGCAATTGCCATCGATGACGAAGTATTAGAAAAACGAAGCGAAAGTACTAAAAGAAGATGGGGTGTACATCCAACCTGGAGAAAGCGAGAAGCAGAAGGGGAATTTTCTTTACTCTACAAAGAATTAATAGACGACGAGAGCAAGTTTTATGGTTATTTTAGAATGTCTAAAGAATGCTTCACTTATTTACTTGAAAAATTAAAACCAGATCACATAATATTTTTTGTATTTGTTATCTAAATACTTAGGATGGCTCATGTCGTAAATCACAGGGTACTTGCGTACACATTCTAATAATTTTTCATCGTCCATTTTGCTGTTGAGCTGCAGACCTCACTAAGATTTGACGTTGACTGCTCTGCGGGTGCCCGGGCGCCTACGTTCATGTTACGACGTGTCGGGGCCGGACCGTGCCGGAGCCGGGAAACAATACCCACCGACATTACAACGCCGTGCCCCGGCCGAGTCCCGGCGGCGCACGGTACGGGCACGGCCGAGCCACGGTCAGGCATGAATTACTGTAAAGTTTTAATTAGTCGATATGAAAGATAGATCAGGATTTATGGTGTTTGTTAATATTAAAGAAATACAAAGCTTTTTTTTTATAAGACATTTTTAATCAAACTATTTATATTTCTTAAAACGAGATTGTTGCTAAGGCAACTTCTTGTATGCCAGTAATCAGTATATACATACTTCACACCCTCTTAAGTTTTTAGAGAATATATGTATATAAATTCTTTAAACCCAATTGTAAGCAAAGTTCTTTTAATCTAGGGCCATACAATGGTTTCGTTAGCATATCGGCTAACTGTATCTCTGTGGAAACATGTTCTACTGTAAAGTCTCCATTGCTAACACATTCTCTAATGAAGAAATGTTTAAGTTTAATGTGCTTAGTACGCTTATGGTACTCATAGCGTGGATTAAGCGCGAGCTTCACAGTTGATTCATTGTCTAACTTCAATACTGGACTTTCAGTTTCAGTAAGTTGGCGAAGTAGGCAATTTAGCCACAAAATTTCTTGTGCTGATTCACTAGCTGCTATTAGCTCTGCTTCAGTAGATGAGATGGAGACAGTTGCTTGTTTCTGACTTCTCCAGCTAATTGCAGCTCCAGAAAATAAGCAAAT